ACCGCACGCTCCTCTGCACCCGCAGTTCATCAAGCACCAGCAGAAAAGGACCAAACAGCAACTTTTGCCAACACATATGTATGCATTTCATCAGTGTTCTGCATGCTAAAAACACGGAAAGAACATAAACCCGTAAACTTTGTGCACGTTTGAACACGTGTTGTTTGGCCCTATTTTTCTACTGAACTGCGCTGTCTGGGGCCAACGCTGCATATCTCGCCGAGCTACAACAGATATCGATTCGCTTGGACTATCTTCGCGCATGGAACAGCTCTGCCGTTCGGTAATCCGTGTTTCTTTGATCGAGGTCATATTTAGGTTCTCTAAAATATCCCGAAACCCAACACACACGTGCAAATCTGCCAGTCCACCCGTACTTCTTTCCATGCGGACGCAATTCTCATCTTCTAACCATCGCAAATTCTGGCACATACCCACCCGTTACAAGCTTTCCCGCGTCTGTCGCCACCATGGACTTCACCGCGTCCGTGTGGCAGTGCTCCGGGCCCCTCAACGGCAGGAAGGCCCTGTGGATGATGCTCCCGTCGGAGGGCCTACCCTTGATGTCCGACAGCTTGCCTGGCCCCTTGGAAGCCACGGCCACGGCGCGCTTGGCCTGGTTCAGCTTTTGTACGTCGGAGGTGTCGATTTTGAAGATCTGCACGGCTGACATGCCCCCAACTGCCAGTATGCGCCGCTTGGCGTTCCACGTCAGGCTGAAAACGGGCCCTCCCGTGTGAACCGTCTGCAAATTGGTGCATTTAAGGGGCTTTTCAGGGCAATATTCGGGGAGGTTAACCTCCTCCGCGCTGGGAAATATCGGTCTTCAAGTGATTGCGAAAAGGCTGCTTCAAAACAGCTGATCTCAAATGCATAAGTCCATTGAAAAACGCTCACACAATTCCAAAATTGGAAAATCGAGTTTTTGCTGAGTCGGCGCTTTTAAATTCGATATTTTTGGGCATAAGTTTTGTAGATCGAAATGTGATCTTCGAGCTGATGCAGAGTCTGCCGGCTGAGCAGTACTAGTATCGCAATGCACTGAAGTGCAAAAGAAAATCTGGCGATTCAGGACGCAAAACATTTGAATTGAAATTACGTCTGCGTCCCCCGGAAATGGGTCCGGACCCAGATACGCAAATCAGGGCACTCTGCTGCTATACTAGAAGCTGATATATGTACACGCTGAGTGAAGGCAGAAGCAAAGGAATTCGTACCTGCAGCTCAACCCCTCTGTCCGTCCACACACATATGAGTCCATCCAGGCCCCCCGAGAAGAGCATCTTTACGGTAGTTGCGTACACCAGGCACGTGACCCATCCCCTGTGCCCGCGCTGCGTCCGAATGTGCTGCCCGGTCTTGAAATCCCAAACCTGTGGGGACAACAACACACTTTGCCTGCCATCGCTCTGGGTGAAATTGACCAGCGCACAGGGTACCATATGGGATGCGTGCACTTGCACTCGCCCACCGCCATGGTTGGCGTGCATGGCATGGTGGGCATGCAGGCGCGCACCGCACATGTGGAACTGACGAATGTAGCAAGCGTTCATGAAAGAAAAGTTGTTGCAACCAAGCCCGAACGCAGTTGAACAAGTTGCGTCCCTCTAGACGGCGACACCTTGCATGAGTGTCCACCTTTCTGGCCCAATCTCCCGATGCCACGCTTTCGACGACTGCAATTGAACACTGAAAGAAAAGAATTTTCCACACCCCAAAACTTCATTGCGTGTACATAACACCATTAATTGCTCAAAACTCTGCGTTGCTGGTGCGCCATATTGAAGCGGAAAAATTCGCGAATTTCAACCGCGTTCTCGATCCCTTTTCCTCTGGTACAACGCAGCAGGTGACGGCGATCAGAATCCGCCCACCTTTATGTCTTTACCTCCCTGAGAGGCGCTGTAGATCTCCTTGCGCATTCGATTGAACGCGATGCTCACAACCTCGTCCTCGTGGTGGGTGTCTATCACATGCACGATTTCCATCGCCATGCCGGCCAGCTGCGCCGATGTTTTGGCCTCGCTGTGGCAAATCGGAACTCGAGACTCGCATCGGAGGGGATCAACACCAGAGAAACTCTATTGGCTGCGGCTTCGCCTTAGCTTCGCTACGTGTCACCGGAGTCCTGCGGAGACATGCGAACGTTGAATGCCCCAGTCCAGAATCCAGAAGCGGTAGTTGGAGCTCTAGTCAATATGCAAATCACACATTGCGAAATGCAATTGTGCAACAGCCAACTGAGAAATTGATAGATATCAGAAACCGCAGTAAACGAAGAAATCATTCTACAGCGGGTTGCTTCCGTATCACGTCGCGTAACGGGCGATATTTGATCGCTAAATCAATACGGTTACCGAGGATCATAATACGGTTATTGGACTGCTTATTGATCGCGATTTGTTGTTTTCATCCAAAGGGGCATCAGCACGCTGCTCAATCAATTGGGTCTCGCACGACTGCGCCCACACTGGTTGAGCGTCTGCCGTCGCCCTTGGCGATCACGCACGTGGAGGAAGATAGTGGGCACTTAAAACCCAAGGGATTTGGCTGCATACCAGTTCAACCAATTTGGTGGGTTTTCATGTGCATCAGCCCATTTGAAGTCGCTGCAACCAGTGTGCTGAACAAAAACTGACATGGTTATGTAACGACGCATCAACATAATGCGCATTCAAAGGAAGAAACACTGCATGTCATGGAGGTAGCCGACAAGTTCTTACTGTGGCCGAGAGAAGCTGGTTCATCTATAGATTTGTAATGTACTGCAGCAAGAGTACGCTGAGTACATCATGTACCGATTCTTGAAGCCATCATTCATTTAACGAACTGCAGTCCGGCGACTTTGGCTTGCATCCAGGCCTGCCCCGAAACAGGCAATGCTCGACATCGATTCTCCCCAAATTTGTCTAAATGTTATCCGCGCTGCCCGCGTAACTGGGCGGCGGCATGCCCCAAGGCTACCTCTATTCCTCCTTTCCGGCGCCGCCAAGGTTAGCGGCCAGCATCTTTGATTGAGACTGTGGTCAACGCGGCACAAGCCAGAACCCAGCGGATGCTCCATGGACTACTGTCTGAAATCATCAAACCTTGCTAGCTGAAACAAGGAAATTTGTGCACAGGGGAAGCGCACGGACCCAATTGGTGAACCGGCTGCCAACGCATGAAGAGGTATCTACTGGGGCCAATGCATAACGACTCAATGGTTGGCTGGGTTGCGGCGCTGTGCTTGGGGCTCATTGAAAAACCACTGGCGCAACTTTGTTCGGCGAAACGAGTAGCCCAAGGGCTACCTCCTGGCCCCGAAACGCACACACCTTCGTTGCTCGCGTGGGGTTGGAATGCGGGTGGAAGTGAGAGCCTCGCCGTTGACTGCTTGGCGCCTAAAGGGGACGGCGTTCGCGTCGCCCTTTCACTGTGCAAGTCGTCTCACGGCTGCGCCCTGTGCATTCTCTCGTGTGGCGTGGACGGCAATTTCCTGTCACTGCGCAGGCACAAAACCCAGGGCAGATGGCTTGTGTCATGCTGTCGCGGATTTGCTGGGCGACTGTTGATGCTGGGAACGCGAAGTTTAGGAATCGCAAGTTTGGTCCTAGCTAAGACCACCTTAGATGCGACCTTCGCTGTGTCCAATTCCAGCGCCCGGACTGCGGTGGCGGAGATTATGTGACGACGGAGTTCGGGCAAATGGCCTGTGCTACAGCCTGCAATTTCCCACGTAGAAGTTCTGTGGAACAACTGGCCCCCGATGCAGCGCTGAATGCCCAACTGCCCTGTACAGCCTCTGCAGGCCTCTATATACCCTTCAACAGCACTGTTGCCTCCTGTGACCAGTACAAGTGTGCGGTCCCTCCAGAAACGTGTTGGTGTTCCACAACGGATTCCCAGCACATTCGTTATGGAATGAAGTTCTTTCAGTGCGTCCTTTTCACCCGTCATGACGGGTTGATGATCAGCAACGCTTCTGGCGCTCTGGCCAACAGGGCCGTCCATGCCAAACACGTGGCCAGCCGCGTTTCTGCGTCACACAATCAGTCACGAGCCAGACACTCGCCCCACTGAGCAGCGGGGCCAAGGCGGCCACCATCGAATTTCAACACGAGCGACCAATCCAACCGTAAAATCCAACCGTAAAAAGTTATCAGCGTTCAAAATCTTAACAGTGAAAAGCTCTCACCGTACAGCCTAGGGCACAGCCCCGAATACAACTCCACCCCCACGGATCTCCATCTCCCTCCCCCCCCTTCCCCTTCCCCTCTTTTTCCCCCACCCCACACCCCTGCGATTCTTCCCTCCCCCCCCTCGATTCCGCCTTTATGCGGGCCCCATGGCCCGTCGGGCCTGGCCCGGCCGTCCGCCCTGGCATCGACTGTGCCGAAAAGGGCGTCCCCGGCACGTCGCACCCCGCACCATTCCGCGGTCAGATTCCCCCGGTGGGCGGTCCACAACCTCGCGGTGCGCACAAAGGGGCGCCTGTCTCGCCCCGCCGCCCGCAAACACCGCCGCCGCCGCCCCAGGAGGCCGCACCCCCCGCGGCGCCCCAGACCCCATCCCAGCGGGCGGTAGGGCGGGGCCGGCCGGCGGCCCACCTGAGTGGCTTCCGAAGGGGGCGCGGCAAGGAGGGAAGCCGGTCACCCCTGGCTGGATCCTTGTCCGGTGAGTGACCCGCGGAGAGCTGTTCAAACCGCCGTGCATGCGCTCCCGGTTGCTGACAGCGCCTCGGGTAGTGCCCTCTGTGGTTCGCGGTTCGGGCGGGGTGGGCTGGATGGCTGTGGTGGTGGCCCAGCTGGCGCGCGGGTGTCTGGGGGGTGCGATGGCCGCGCCACACCTGGGCCCTCCCCACCCCTGTGCTTGCTGTCGGGGAATGCCGGCGACCCAAAAGATGCGCGCCGCCCCTCAAGCATCCTTCGTTCCCGCTCCGCAGGCCTTGGATCGGATCTACACCCCCGCCCCCAGGCTCGTCCCCTCACGCCCGCTCCCGCGGCCAAAGGGTCGGCGGCATGGAGGCGGGCCAGAGGGCGCGGTCGGCGCCCGCCCCCGCGCGGGGCGTGCACCCCCTGGAGCTCGTCCTCGCCGTGTGGCACTTCCTGCGCCTGCTGTTCTCCGGGCTGGCCGCCCTGGCCGCCTACCTCTCCGCGCCCCTCTCCTGGCTGGGGCGCCACGCCCGGACCTCGCAGGCGATCATGGCCGGCCCCGCGCGGTCCCCGCGGCGCCCGCCAGCCCTCCGGGCCTCCCCCGAGCCACGCCGGCCCGCCAAGTGGCTCCTGCCACCGCTGATGGCGTCCGACTTCGGGAAGATGACCGTCGTGCTGGACTTGGACGAGACCCTGATCTCATCCCGCCCGGCGAAGAACGCCCCCGCGCGGCTGCGCCCCGGGGGGCTGCGCAGCGTGGAGCTCGACTGCGACGGTACCAGCGTGGGCAAGTCCTCACGCGTGGTGATGTTCATGCGCCCGGGCCTGTTCGAGTTCCTCAGCCGGCTCACGTCCTTCGCGGAGGTGGTCCTGTTCACCGCCGGCGTGCCCGCCTACGCCGAGCCCCTGGCCAACGCGCTGGACCCCGCCCGCCGGTTCTTCTCCGCACGCCTCTACCGCGGGGACACCGTTGCCACGGTGTGGCACTCCTACGTCAAGGACCTCTCCAAGCTGGGCAGGGACCTGCGGCGCACCGTGCTGGTGGACAACAGCCCCTACTCCTTCCTGCTGCAGCCCGCCAACGGCATCCCCTGCGTGCCATTCCGGGGCGCAGGTGGCGACCAGCAACTGCTCAAGGTGATCCTACCCCTGCTGGAGTGCCTGTCGTACGTGCACGACATCCGGCCCGTTCTGAACAACCACTTCAAGATGGCCAGCTGGTTCAGGGCGCGCGGCTGCAACGTGGAGCTAGACCTCTGAGGGGTGGGAAGGTCGCGGTGGGAACACTGGGACCTGTGGTCCGCCACAGGGATGCCCTGTTGATGTGTGACGTCCGATTGGGATATGTTAACCTGTTCAAAGCGAAGCCCCAAACCTGGGGGTGATGGTGGGCTGCCGGATGTCAGGCGTGAGTGGTTGGAGGACGTGCGCTGACAGATGACGGGGGCCTGGAGGAGCATGGTATGGAGGGCCGCTGTGGCTGCCACCAGCCGGGATGGTTTTTGCTGGTCCAAGTTCCACAGGCAGGGGACAGTGTCAAAATTATATGGGGCAGGACGCAAGATGCCCCTGCCAGAGGTGAATGCCTGTGTGTATGCTGCGGTGGATTGAAGGCTGGGGGGACCCTCGCTTGGATGTTAGCATTCTTTCTTCTTTGCACGATTGGTAGTGAGCCACGGTGGGTGGGGATTGGCTCTGGAGATTGCTGGGCCTTGACGGAGCTGGACCTGGACCTGGGCTGGGCCATCGTGCCTATGGGTCCAAAGGTAGCAGCTGGCTGGCGTCGTTGACCCACATAGGGTAGGAAAAGATAAACAAAGCAGGTTCTGCTGACAGCAGGTGCAGGACATGCGCTGCCGCTGCCTCTCCTGCAGGCATGCGACTGTCCAGGCCAGGGACATTTTGTCCTTCACAGCTGAATGAAGTTGTGTGTCCCTTGAGAAGCTGCACTGAGGTCTGGACGTGCAATCAGCAGTCGCATTCCACGCATTTTGGCAGTGGGCCCAACGTCCCTTGATGACGCTGAACCTGTGCTGCATATTGGTGCAATGGCACCACGTGCAGACGGCACATTCTCTTAGTACTCTGCTGGTGGTGCTTTTGCTTCTGTGCAAGGTGTGAACGCGGTGCAGATAGGCGCAAAGGGAATATAGCGAGCCCTTGTTGCTTGGTGCCGAGTGTGGCACACGTCTGCAGTTAGCAAATGTGGTGTGGCAGCAGTTGTCAAACCCGTCTTGAAGAGGACACAGAGGTCTGCGGGTCGCATGCTTGCCAGGGGGCGTCCAAGCTGCTTGATGGGAAGTTTTGAGAAAGACAAACAGAAGCCAACTTTTCGTGGGTGTGCGTGAAACAGTGAGCCTGAGATATTGTACCAATAGAAATGGTTTGTGGGAGACAGGAAGGGGATTGCATCCTCATGGGCATGTAATCATTTTCTTTCCAAGGCTGTTGTGGTGTCCCCTGCCTGCTGGGCAGGGGGCCCCGCTCATCGACTCACTGTCTTGATATGAGCAGCCTTGCCCTTGCTTGCACTCGTGAGGCAGGCAAGGCGGCAGAGCCCCCTGCCCCCTGTGCTGCCAACCTCTACCAATACCTCCATCAGCGTTGATTGAATTGTCGAAGATGCAATGCCATTCAACCCATGACAAGGGCTGGGCAATGTACACAGGTTGCTTACATACTTTTGTTGCAGCTGCGTTTCCGCCTGAGCTGGCTCCACCACTGCGCCTGCCTGTGAGCTCAGTTCAGCGAAGCATGGGAGGCAGCCCAATTGTCAGGATGTGGCCACTGTTGGTTACGGGACATGTCGCGCACGTTTGCGGCAACGGCAATCAGAATGGTAGCGAAGCGGCTTGATGGGCTCAGGCTCGTTAACCCAGAGGGCAAATGCGGCAAACGTGGATCCAGACATGGGTGGGCCAACCCACAATTGCTTCTTGAGTGCGCAATGTGCAGCTGATTGGCCATTACAGCGTGGTACTGGGCGCGCTGATGCAGAGAGCAGCCCTGTTTCGCCCCGAGCACACCCAAAAGAATTGGCGGCGAGTTGGTGCGTGGGTCTGGATGGCATCCTGCAGAATGGACCTGCTTGCGTCCTTTCTAAAATAGATAGCGTGGGTCAGGGGCTGCGTCCTTAGATGCCGACCGTGGCACTTCGCGTATCATGACAGCGATGTCTCAGGGCACCGAAGGGCGGTCGGCCTTGGTCGGTTGGTTGTCCTCCTTCGGTGAAGCCTCCATGGTCCTCGGAGACCTTGGTGCAGACCTGCTGCATGCGACAGGAAAACTCTGCAAATTTCAGAAGTTGCACACGGGGTATTGTCTGTGAAACACAAGTATAACAACTTCTGGGGAGGCCCACATATGGGTTCCGAAGATTGGAAGGCCAAAAATTCCGCCAGCCCCGCGCGTTGTGCCAACCAAATTGTGAAGCTGTATTATGTGTATATTTGTTTGCGAGCGAATATTCTCTTTCACGGAAAGCCAACTTGGGAGGCGCTTGCACCAGCTGCACGGCTGCCGTCAAGCAAACCTGCAGTACATTGTTGGTGAGATGTCATGGACAAGCCCACAAGTTGTGTGGTGTTGCATTCCTGCCGACTGTACGCTTTCCTCATAGAGAATGCTATTCGAACGCCTTCCGAGGCCCCACCAAGTCGCCCAAGTCAGATTGTCGCCCAGTCCATGGATGTCCTCACAAAGGATCCACTTCCAAGGCCAAGTTGTCCTGTTGAGCAAGTCTCGGCGAGCTGCAGGAGATTGACGGCAGTGGCTGGGTCTCGCCAGCGCCGCAAGGGCTGAGTGTGGTGTGGGACGATATCCTTGGAAGAAGCGGGATTGGCTCCTTCAATCTCCAGTCTTCCGTCTGCAGGGGTGCTTTATGAAGTGGCCGCCCGCGCAGACACCGCGTGGATGTTTGGGCTGGTGCTCCCGCAGCTTGGAGAGGCCTGGGTGGCTTGTGAGATCATCTTGATGGTTTGTCTGTGTTGACGCTCCCGAATTCGATGGGGTCGATGTCGTTATCGACCTCAGACAATGGTCTGAGGCCAGCAGACATTGTCCAATGTTCACGCCCATGGGCTGGACTCAGATGCAGCAAGTAGAGATTCAAGAGCGTTAAATAATAGTGGCAGAGGGCTGTTGATCGGATTATCTGTTGCAACCCCCTCCCCCCCAAGAAAGCAGACTTTTGCACGTGGTTTCCGCAGTGCTTTGTACGCAGGCGTCGCCCTGATGATCGCATTGTGCCGCGTAGGCAGCATGCAATTTCTTCCATGTCCAACGTGCACAATACTACCAATGACATGCCTTCATCGAAACAACATAAACCTTGTTTTGGGGAACGCAGTAGAAGGCTCAGTACATTAGATAACTTCCAGGACCATTTGTTTCTCCTGAAAAGGAGTTCGTGAGTTTGTCAGTGCAGGTACATGAGAATTATTCCCATTGTGTGTATAGGCGGCCCTGAATTGCATGAGACTGTGTCCCAGTTGCGTGTGGAACTAAGCATCAAGATGTGCCCCCTCATAACGGCAGTCGACGCATCAAGTTTCCTAAACACAACAATCCACCTATTTCCGCACAGCCTTATGTGGAGCGCAACTGAGGAGGCCACAATCGTTTCTGGGTAAGTGCGTAAACACAAGTGACAAGCCAACTCCACTCTTCAAACGCAGGCTACACGTCACGAATCTTACCATCGCGTTGCAGCTGCCTCAGCCAGGTGTACACCTGGTTACGTAACCAGGCGGTACATGCATGTATCGCTGATTTGACGTGATGTGGCTGTTTTTGAAGGTACGCCAACCGAAGGAAGCGAGCAGTTTTCCTTTTGACAAAACTCTCCCGAGCACCGCGCATTGCACAGATTCTCCCAGTGCGACTCGCAGACTTGCACAGTGCCCTGCACATCTGGATTACACGCGGTCACAGCGAAGTTCCAGTTTGTGTGGGCGTGAGAGCGTCACTGAGTAGGTATTTACAGAGGAAAAAGTCTTATGGCGTGCAGCCAGAGTTGTCTGAACGCTCCCTTCCTTCGTGCGTGGTCTGTGCTCTGGAAGTCGAGAAGGAACGACGTCAAGCATCTCGATCTGTTCTGGAAATTCCAAGCAGAGTGCGTCCACTGTCCCAATCTGATGTGCAGAAGAGCTCGTCCAGACGAGTTCCCGTTCACTCTTTCATTTCCTTCCTCTGACGATGCACGCTAAAGATCCAAGAACGCCTGTCGCCCTATTGATCACAAATCGCTCTCTACTTTTGTCCCCATTGGCGCAATTACGGAGGCCCTTTTTTCCGCAAATTGTTGTCGATCTTGACACATCCATCTCGCGCCCAATCCTTTCAAGTGCCAAAAACTAGCTCGATGACGCTGCACACAGGAATTGCTACAGAAGTGGCAGCTAGAGACTGCCGCCCACAATGCACTATTTTGGGCCAGGTTGAGCATGGAAAGCTCTATTCAAGCATCCACAGAGGGGCAAAGTCCAGCCAGGTTGAAAACATACTCCGCGAGTGGCAGTCTATGCAGAGCCTTAGTTTCTACATCGGCGCCCCCACCCATTCATGGAGGAAGCGCTTCCCCTCTTTGTAAGTCCAAGCATTGGCGACCAGGGGGATGGAGATTTCGGGCTTCGCCGGTGCTGTGGCGGTGACATTCTGCGATGAGGATCCAAACAAGCAGGCTTGGTTTTCACGTTTAGGTTTTTACTTTTACGTTTTTACACGTAAAAACGTAAATTTGCAAAAGGACCTATTTTTACGGCTATTTTTACGTTTTTGCGGCTCCCTGGGACGCCCAGATTACGCGAAGAAAGTTGCGTGCAATGATCAGTCCTCTGCCATATCCAGCACCCATAACGCAGTGTCCACCTCGCCGTTGGCAAGGGCGATGATGGCGCTTAACAAGAACTCGTCTTCTGCCCCTTCCAGGGCGTCTGGCTGCCACTCTCGGGACTCCGTAAATCTGTATGTGCTGTCCTTATGTACACCGGGCAGTTTTTACGTTGTATTTCCGTATTTTTACGCATTTTTACGCGTAAAAACGTAAATACTGTTTTTACGCATAAGAACGTAAATACGATCAGTTTTTACGGCGTAAAAACCAAGCCTGCAAGCAAGTAGAGCGGCTTTGGCAAGCGCGTCCCACGCGATGCATCACGTACATATGTACGCCGCCCCTCACCTCGACGGCAGCAAAAGCTTAACATCGCCACCCGCAGGAACTAGAGTGGCCAGAGCCCTGGAGATCTCAAGCGGGCGTG